AATCACCTGCGGCTCTTCTCCTTCCCCCTGAGACTTTTGCCTACGTGAATTGCCAGGACACTGGAGTCTAAAATCTTTCAGACCGCACAGCCCAGTCCCTTCTCTGCCGATCCCACAGCACAAATAAGGAACTCAGCCCAGGCCTCTGGTTTGCCCAAGTTCACAGGGCAATCACGAAGTGAAAGCAGTCTCTGTGTTCGCCAATCAGAATAGACATCGGAGAAAGGTCTTGAAATGGAGAACTCCCCAGAAGATGCTCCCAGGGCCAGGCAGGTCAGAACGTGGGGGGCAGGGCAGGCATGGGGAATGGAGGCTGCAGGAGAGCACGTCCTGTCTGTAGATGCCACCGCCCTGCGGATCGAACCTATTGCTGCAGTACAAGAACAGGGGCTCCAGAGAGCCAGGGCCTTTCTAAGTTTTCAAAAGAAGTTAGACATCTGGAATTCCATGTGCAATTTTCCAAACCTCGAAACACCAAGTGGGCTAAAGAAAACATGTCTATAGGTGAAACACAGCCCAGGCCAGGCTACCATCACACAGCTCCAGAGCCTGGCTGGGAGGGAGGCAGCTGGCTCGTGGTCTGGGCAGCACTCGGCTGCCTGTAGTGACCTGGAATGGCACAAACCTCACACGCCACCTCCCATGTGCACCCGCCCCGCACAGGGCCTTGGGCCAGCCCTGACCACTTGCTCCCCACCCTCTCTGCACTGCCACGTGCTCCTTTGCTCACTCTTCTTTCGCAGAGCGGCCTCTCTGATATGCGTCTTATCGTCCACTTACCGCGCTCCCTACTGCTGCTGGCATTGCTCTGATGTCACCGCCCTGCTATCTCTGCTTTTGCTGTTTCTTTTCTTACTGCCTGGTTTCATGTCCCCCCTCCAGGCACGGTGTAGCACCTGAGCATAGACGCTGGATGACTAACCTGCAGGTGCAGGCCCAGGGCAGGCTGGGATGGGTCCTGAGCTCCGGTGTGCTGGGCAGTTTATGCTAAGTGAGGAGTTGGACCCACTTCAATTCTTGTGCTGGAGGCTTGGATGGGGTCTTCTGGCTGCGCCCTGCTCCTCAGCCACAGGCCATTCGGTGATTGATCTAAGACCCAGCATCTCTCAGCAAGTGGTTGTGCAGCAGCCTCAAAGTCACCTGGGAACTTGTTAGAAATGCAAATTATTATCACCCTCCTTCCCCCATGCCTGCTGACTCAGAAACTCTATCTTCCCAGCTGGGTTTTAACAAGCCCTCCAGGCCAAGTTTGAGAACTGCTACTCTTAGAGTTTGGTCTTGACTCTTGGGATTCCCCAAGACAGTCCCCTCTGTAAGAATAGTTGTGTGGGGAGCAGGGCTGGGAAGCCCCAAACCTGTGCCCCGTGTTTGTGTGTGATGGGACAGTCCATGTGGAAAAGTGAGAGACCCAAAAAGGGGAAGAGGTATTCCCGACAGGCCCCTGCGGTAAGACGTTAATGCCCCACAGTTGGGGATTTTCATGTTCCCAACCTAAAGAAGGCATGAGGACCAGACTTGATCTCCCTGGAGCCAGAAAGTACCTTGCAGGAAACTTCCACAGCCTTAACAGCCCAGGGGGCGCCAGCCTGAAGGAGTATGTGTCTGTGGGAGGTGACCGCCTCTGTAAAGACAGGCTGTAGGCCTGGGCAGCACCAAGTCTGATGCCGAAATGCATGACTGGTTTCTGGACACCAAGTGCCTATGTGACCCACCCACCACCCAGCATTCAGGCCTCCGCCCTTTCTCAGAATGCAGACCCGAGACCTCCTGGACCTTGGAGAATTCACAGTTGCAGATACTTGCACGCTGGGGCCACCCCAGGCCGGCTTCTCCTCAGGGGAAGGGCAGAGAGGCACCAGGCACTTTGCCTCTATGTCATTTATCGTAATACAAGGGCTTTGTGACATTATAATGGCCATTTTCCAGACAAAGAAGTAAGGTGCCTTCCAGCTGCTGAGGGGCTCAGCACAGGCTGTGACCTCACAGAGCCATGTGGGGCCCAGGAGAGACCCCCCTCCTTACTGCCACTGGGCCTCCCCCAGAGCAACTGTGGCCTGACTACTATAGTATGGGGACATCCTCTCCTCCACTGTCTCCTCAGGGGTCCAGAGCCCTTGGAGAGATGAAGTGTGTCAGGGAGCAGGGGCCACGCTCTGGGGCAAGTGTTTCCAAACGTGGAGGGAGGGATTTCACCCTCCGGAGGCCCAGGCACTAGCTTCCTCCATTGTGAACTTCGCCTTTGGGGATACTTGTTTGTATTAGAACGAAGAGCATGAGGAACTGGAGCTGCCTGTGCCTTTTGAAAGACAGCAAAGCATTTTAACCAGGCTGGTTGGCTTCTCAAGAGAAAAATGGACCAGCTGGAAATACCAGTGGGTAAATATATCACTGCAATGAAAAGTAGGACCCTCAAGTTGTGCAGGGGCATGTGGCCCCTCAGGGAGCCTGCCTCTGGTGCTCCCCCTGGTGGCCGTGAGCATGCACAACACCAATCCCCATCCTTGGCACTGGGCTCCTGGGCAGGGGAGAAGCATGCCCTCACTCAGGGACTCTGGCTCTCCCAGGATGGGGAAAGTCAGGATACCCCTCCCTCTTATAATGGTCCTCCTTCTTCTAAGGCCTGAAGGCAGAAATGACAGGCAGTTGACAGCCCACTGGCACCTGGGTGAGTGCTCGGCCATGGACATGTTCCCTCGAGAGCTCCAAAGTGCTTGCCAGGCTGCCCCCTGGTCGGGTCATTGTGTCCTTTCCTACTCCAGTGGTGGGTGTAAGGAAGAGACTGCTCGATGGGACCCCCGGCACTGGGACTCTCTCCTAAGCTGTTCTGTCTCATGAGAAGCTTGCAATAATGCCAGAAACCCCTTCCGCCTGCCCTTTATTCTTTTTTTTTTTTTTTTTTTGGAACCTTCTGAAGATACCATTAGCTTCTTTCATCTCAGGACACATTAGGAGAGGAGCCCAGAGCCCTGTCTGACCTCCCCAATGCAGCCACGTGGTTTTTGAGCTTGGGGGGAATTGGCCAACCTCATCCTGGTTGCCTCCCTGTGACCCCGGTTCGCACAGTTTTGCAGAAGGGGCTGTGGTGAGGCCAGCCCAACTCCTGTGGTCACCAGCCAGCACCCACTCCCAGGTCAGCCCTCCCCGCCACCTCCTAAGGAAGTTCTGGCTGAAGGCTGCCCCACACTTATTTACCAGCGAAGGTCAGGGACCAGCAGGTTGTGGCAGAAGCAGGCATTCGTATGGGTGGTTTCTAACTCATCCAAGAGCAGGGTTGGGGTCCCCTTTTTACAGGTACTGAGTAAATTACTTGTCTGAAACATTTCAATGTATGATTTACATTCTGCCTCCCCACAAAACACACCTAAAGAAGGGCAGATCAGGGGTGCCTGGGTGGCTCAGTTGGTTGAACGGCTGACTTCGGCTCAGGCCATGATCTCGTGGCCCATGAGTTTGAGCCCCGCATGAGACTCTGTGCTGACAGCTCAGAGCCTGGAGCCTGCTTTGATTTCTGTGTCTCCCCCTCTCCCCCACCTCGTTCTCTCTCTCTGCCCCTCCCCTGCTCAAGCTCTGTCTTTCTCTGTCTCAAAAATAAATAAATGTTAAAAAAAATGTTTAAAGGGGGCAGATAGGGTCATTCAGTTGGGCATCTGACTCTTGGTTTGGGCTCAGGTCATGATCCCACAGTTTGTGAGCTCGAACCCCACATCAGGCTCTGCGCCAATGGCCAGGAGCCTGCTTGGGATTCTCTCTCTCCCTCTCTCTCTGCTCCTCCCCTGCTCGTGATTGCTCACTGGCTTTGTCTCTCTCACTCTCAAAATAAGTAAACTTCTGAAAAATGTTTTAAAAAGAGGGCATATAAACATTTTAAAAGTGCAAAGCAATTTTAAAATAGAAAAAAGTAGGAAGGGAAGAAGAAAGGAAGAAAATAGTTTGATAGCCCACAGAACAAGGACACTGAAGCAGGCTGTGAGCTTGAATGTCGCCCCAGCTCTGCCCTCCTCCTCTCCCCTCTGTCCCTTCAGCACTGACCAGGGTCGGCCAGCTCTGACCTGGCCCAAGAGAGCAGGGTAATGGGTCCTCAGGCCTGATTCTTTTGAGTTTTCTGATGCCTCACCTGCCTAAGGAAGAAGACCCTTCCTCTCCCTATTTTTCACCTCATCTCCTTCCTTGCTAGAAGCCTCCAGGCTGGAGGACCCGGGGCTGGCCTGGACCTCAGGTCATGTGGAGTGAGGCCCTGGCCACTGGACCTGTCAGAGAGCAAGGCTCTGGACAACAGCCTGCACTTTGCCCCACAGCTGAGAAGCCCCCTGGGTGGAGGGAGGGATGGGGAAGGGAGGACAGGGCCACCTGGTCTGCAGCTGAGCTAGGGCGGGTTCTGTGTCAGCCCTCAGCCCGGACAAACCTCCCCCAGTGACACAACAGGACTTGTGAGCTGAGATACCCCCAGGTAGCCTGGTGAGAAGTTCCCCCCAAACCCAGCAGGTTCATTTGGGGAAATCCTGTGTTTTCTCTGGGGCCACATGGGGCACAGGCTCTGAGGGTTGGGAGGCGGGAGTGCCCAGGGCTTCACTCTGAAATCACTGTGGGGCTGAGACCTTCGCTTCTCACCTGCCACCGACCTCGCTTCCCCGCCGTGAAGTAACCACACCGTAGCTACTCCGAGTACGGGCTTATAACACGCACCCCATGATGCGTGTGGGTTTTGTCCCACTTACTCATCAGAACAGCCTAGGAAACTCCCATTTTCCCCACAAGAAAACCAATGAACAGAAACATTAAGTCACTTGCCCGCAGTGATCCGCCAGCAAGGAGCAGTGAGAGCAGGATCAGTAATACCTCGCCAGGCCAGAGAGGCTGTTCTCACTCTTCAGGGGAGGGGGTCTTGCTATGAAATGCCAAGGCAGGCAGCCCCTGCAGAAAGGTGTCCCCCTCTCAGATACCTGCCAGGGACAGCGCCCATCTCCGGGAAAGAGGGCCAGAAGGTGACACAGACCAGCGTGCTCTGTATGGAAGCCTTTATTGGGGAGGGGTCAGAGTTCATGGATCACCGGGAGGTGCAAATAGAGAGTTCTGAGGGTGCTGCTGTGGCGTGGGGGCGGGGGGGAGGCTGCAGTCCCGCAGAGTGGCCTGGAAGGCCAGGAGCCCTGGTGCCAGTCTCTTGAGGGTCCTGCCAGAGAGTGCCCCTGCACCCTGGCATCACAGGGTCTCCCTCTGGGGGTCCCCTGGGCCTTGCCACCATCCATGTGTCTGTGTGAGCCCTGGGGGTCAGCAGAGGAACCAGTCCGCCTCGCTGGGTCCCTCCTGCTTGGCCGCTTTTCCTGGGACTCCCCGTAGAGCCAGTCCAGGGGGTCAGCAGTGCCATCCCTGGGCGCTGCAGGCTGCTGGCCACTGAAACGGGGAGTAATGTCCTGTAGGGACTCGGTAGGGCAGCTCTTCTTGAAGGCCCGGGCTGACTGGGGCATTCTGCTGAGCTGGGCCTTGGCTGTGACCGCGTCCAGCACTGAAGTGGGCTGTGCCAGCTGACAAATGGACTTCACGTAGTCATCCAGGCTGGGGGAGCCCAGTGGTTCCTGCCCAGGCCCCCCGGGCAACATCTCCTCCGAGGTCTCCCGAATCGTGGGCAGGTGGGCCACAGGAACCAGTAGCCGGGACCTCATGGCTGCCGGTGATGGGGAGCGGCAACCTGTTGGTTGTCAGAGGATCAGGGATGAGGGTCTGCCATTCTGTCACCCCTCCTGGGTCCCCTCCCTCATCTGAGAGGCTGCCTAAGTGAATCATGGGCCTGAGAGCAGAGTGAAGTCTGCAGCCCCAAGTCCAGGCTCGGACCCCCTGCCTGGTCTCTTGCTTTCCTGCTAACACTGAACACCACTGTCCTTACTGTTGTTTAACAACCTATACAAATAAGAGAACCCAGCCTAAAGGACTGGAGTCCGAGGGAACCTGGGTGTAAATCCAGCCCCTGCCACTTCCTGACCTGTGGACCTTTGGCAGGGTCACCTCTCCAAGGGCCCCCTTACCCATCCATAAAACGTTATAAATACCCGTTGGCAAGGATGTTGTAAGAAACACATGGAATGACACTTCACGTGAAATCCCTTTATGAATCTGAAGGCCTCTGCAGCTATTAGCACTGCTGCTGACTGCATCCCCTGGTCTCTTACCCACCGTGAGGCTGTGTAGGTCCCTGCCCTTGAAGAGAAACAAAACCTTTTCGTTCTATCTCAAACCAGAAGAAAGCTGCTCTCTCTTACCTGTAGCTGAGGGAACGTGGGGAGAGCGAGGACGCCGGGTGAGCAAGGACAGTCCTTGGGAAGACCCAGAGAGCTCAGGGTGGAGGGCTGGGGGCCCAGCCGTCTGAGCCCCACGTCCAGCGTGGGATGCGGGGACAAGCAGCCACTGTCCGGAGCACTCCCTGAGCCGTCTGGTGAACCTGGAGGTGTGGCAGCTGCTTTTATACTTTTCCACCAGCCATCAATTACTGTCACGAGGGCCAAAAATAGCAGTGCACAGGAAGGCTCTCAGAGGAAAACAGCCTGGGGGGCAGGGTTTGGCCCAGCAGCCAGCCTGGGGCTGTGGGAGGCCCTGGGGATGTTTACTCTACAGGGCAGTGGAGGGAGGGGCAGAGGAGGGGTGGCACTATTCCAGTAGAGGAGTGGAGCAGGGGTGAGGGAGTGGAGGGCAGAGGGAGAAGTAGGGGGTTCCAGTAAGGAGGGAGGTGTTGCCTGGGACCCAGAACTGAGGGTCCACAAGGACTTCCTGACTTACTGAAACGCGAGGCCTTGGGACAGCACACTCTAGTCCTGCCTCCTCCCGCATGCACTTCCCCACCTGTGTGGCAGCCCGGAGGTCCCCCCCTGCTCTGACCTCAGTTTCCTGATTTGACCAGAAACAGCTGCAGACTGACAGGGCCTCCCCTCCATTCGGAAGGGGTGGGCTGAGGGACAGTGGAGCCATGGCTGGGGGACAGCGTGGGGGCTGCCATGTGGCCTATGCCAGGGACATGGGGCCAGCAGTCACCAGCACAGCTGACCCCAACCTCCCAGGCTCAGCTCGGCTTCAGCCCCTTGCTCCCAGCCCCAGGGTGATTTCCCCTGCCTCCTTCCCTGCCAGCTCTCTACAGCCTCGCTGTGGCTTGTCTGAAGGGCCAGCCTCAGCATGTCCGGCCCCACTGCCCTGCCCCAGCCATGCTCTCTCTTCCTCCTGACTCTCACAGCCGGCACCTGACTGCTTGATCTCCCTCCACCGGGTCCGGCCCAGCAGGCACGGGTGTCCGTGAACAGACACGCTGAGGGGTTCGGGCCGGCAGCGGCCCGCTCCAGCAACGTGTGGACATCTGACAGAGGCCTCCGAGGCCAAGGCAGGAAACAAACCCCCTTTAACTCCAGTGAATCAATGCAGACTTTCCTTTGTTGGCAGGGTTAGTTCCCTATCTGTGACTGTGTAACATCGGAGGTTATCAAAAATCTCGCTCTGGTTTGTTTGTTTGTTTGTTGTTGTTGTTAACAAATAGTGCAAGGCCATTCCAGAAAGCTATGTAGACTTTTGATAACCTTGAACAGAGTGGAACTGTTTTCTCTGGGGATGGCTGTGTGTTTTAAGCGATTACTAACTTACTTTGAAATCAACACCGCAAGGCACACCTTCCGTAAGCTTTCCGGGGACATAAAGAAGTTTCTACAAGGTCCCTTCTTCTCCCAAGGCTTCCCATGTCTATAAGGAGAAAGAAGTGGAATTTGTGAATCTAGAGTGATGTTCAAGATAGCAGTGGGAGAATGAGGCTCAAAGTTCGCTGCCCAAGGGCTAGCATCAAAGCAGATGAGGAGTGTGGAGCTGGGAGGACCACAGCTCTGGGGAAAGTGAGGCCGAGAGGAGTTCAGGCAGACGCTCTGGGAGCAGCCTGGCCAGGCACACTCGTGGGGGCCATTAGGCTGGGCGCAGGGAGCCTGGAGGTGGCCACACATACATAGGAGCCTGAAATAGGTCAGAAACAGAATCAAAGACCTGAGGGGTATGAGTAGAAGCCCGCTGAGGGTGTGTCTGGAGGGCCTGACAACGAGGACCTCAGAGTTTGGCAGAAGGGCAGTAGCTGTGCCACCCCCAGACCTTGGGAAATCAAGGCTGGTTGGGGACCCAGAATGGGAGCTGTCATAGATATTCCGAGTGTTCGTGCCAGTGGTGGGACACGGGGCTGGCAGTGTCCAGGTGGTGAGGAACGCGAGACTGGCCCTCAGGAAAGAAGACAGCTTGGAAATCTGGGGGTGAGTCCCGCCCACTCGAGTGGCTACTGCGGCAAATGGACGCAGTGTGGGGAGAAGGGTGAGGCTGTGACCCAGCTCCAAGGAGCAGCAGGGAATGAAATCCAGTGCCCTCCGAATGTTCGCAGCAGGACCTGGTGACCCTGGGGCCCCTTCCCACGTGCAGCATCAGAGGAGGGGTGTGGAAAGCCACCCCTCTTGGCACTGGTGTCACTGTGGCCATGCTTCTCTGGAACACGCTTCCTTACTCCTGTGTGGACGTGCTTGCTGGATAGAAGTTGGGTTCCTGTGGGACGCCTGACTCAGCGCCCTGTCCCGGGCCGTGTCCCTGGCCAGAAGGGAGCTGAGCGGTGAAAGGGCACGCCTCAGGCTTCCTCTGGTCAGTCCCATGGCCTTACGCCTTGTGGCACGTAGAGGCTTATGTGCCTCCCCCCGGGGGGAGAATAGGACCCCAAGCAGGAGAGGATGTGTGTGGGGCCAGGAGTGTACAGGGAGTCCCATGGATGACAGGCTGGGCCTGACGGGGGCTCGGGGAGGGTGGGCAGTGACCCCCTGAGGTGGGCCACTCTGTGGAACGAGGCTAACCTGTATGGGTCTCCACAGGAGGAAGGCGCTTTGATCATTGAGGGACTTCTCAACATTGCCTGGGGACTGAGGCGGCCAATCCGGCTCCAGATCCAGGACGACAGGGAGCGAGTGCATCTCCCTTCAGCCTCCTGGACGCCTGGACAGCCCAGCTGCCACCTGTGAGTGCCAGGATGGCTGAGGCTGGACCAGCTGGCCTCCTTGACAACTCTTCAACCCTGCTTACTTTTCGAAAAGGTTCAGGGGCTGCTGTCCTCAGTCTCAGGGCAGAAGCCCTGATCCATCATGGGGCACAGGAGAGCACAAGCCAGCCTCATCCTTGGTACCCCGCGACAGCCTCCCCATGGCCTCACCTGCCAACAAATGATCTTTCTAGATGATGGCCACATCATCTCACTCTTGAAGAGCTTTCCAGACTCCCATCACCTCCAGTTATGTTTCTGATACATTCGCAGGAACCACCTTGTCTGCAAGGGGACAAGCTAGAGCCAGGGACTCCCCACATCCTGGACAAAATGAATGGTTTTTAGCATCTCCCATTCTAGCTCAACAATTCACACAGATCTCACCTCTTCCTGCTCTGCTTTTATTTTAATATCAGCATTGGTTTCTAAAAATTTATTTGAACTTGATATCAGATTTATTTTGATATCAGAAATATGTTTTACTCATGATGAAACAGTTTCCTATTTTATTGCTTAGTGGACATTCGCCTCCTCCTGCCCTGTCACCCCCGGTAAAGGGCAGTTAGCCGCTGAGTTTTGCTTGCTCCTGCATATAATGAATCCTTTTGAGAGGCAGAAATTCAAAAATTCAAGTAAAGGTGCTGTTCTGAGGCCGCTTAACACCCCCCATTGCACGCCATGCAGACTTAGAGTAGAGCATTTGGATGGACTCCTTAGAAAGGCTGCAAGTGCGGCGATTCGTGCGTCCCACTTCCTGGGGTAAAAGCAGCCACATGAGCAGACAGACAGCAGGACCCTCAGAGGCCTCTTAGACTGAGTTTGGCTCTTCTGTCTGCTCCCTGGCTCCCTCATGCTGTGGGGCTATCTCCCATCACACACTTTCCCTTCTCCAGCCTGGCACCCGTACCCTCACTTGGAGCCCACCCCGCCCAGAGGCCCAGCGGTCGGCCCCTCGAGGTTGCGCCTGCCCGATACTCCATGAGGCCTGAGGGAAGCCCAGGAAGCCCACTCAGCATGCAGCCACAGATAGCACCCCCTCTGCCTGGTGCCCAGGAGTGCATGGGCCCCGCCTGTGTCCCTGTGTCTGTGCAACGAGGACAAGGCCACTCAGGTCTACGGGCCAGACTCCCCTTCCTTCCAGAAGACACCATGGCAATTCTTTGCTCTTCTTTTAATATTTTGCATGAGTTCAGTGTGAAATCCAGCCTTACCTCGGCCTGCCCTGCTTCTCACTTCTGTCCCGGCCTCAGAAGCCTCCAGCCTTGTCTCTCTCACTTGAGCTACTTTTCTCTGTCAGCGGCTCTCTGAGCACCATGATTTTCTTTTCAGAAAGGAGCCACTTCTTCAGGATGGCAAGGTCACTGCCCAGGAGCCAAGCGCTCAGACAGCGCACAGCACCGAGAGTTCCAAAGACAACTCAGGTAAGGGGGGCCTCAGGCTACCCGGGACCATGTCTCCCTCAGCCCAGGTAGGAGCGGAGGAGCTTGGCTCTGAAGAACAGCTTTGTGGAGGGGCACAGAGTGGCTTCACTTGTCTTCGGGAGCATCACCGGCTAAATCCCTCCTCAGTACGAGGCATTCTCAGCAGCTCCTCACAGCAAAGGAAGCAGAGGCTTGCAGATGTGACATGATTTGCCTGAGACCCCTGGACCATGCTGCATTATAAAAAGGAGAGAACATCGGTGGCAGGCAGGGCACCCTCCTGGCCCTGCAAGCCTCTAAGACATCTTCCTCACACTCTGGGGTTCAGACTGTTCATCTGTCCCCCTCACACTCAGTGGGGGCTCAGAGGATAGGGATAGGGCCGCCTAAGACCTGCCCTGGGTGCCCAGAGACAGAGGCCCACACCACGGCCATGTGGTGTGGTGACACAGGTCTTCCTGTCTGGGGTCAGCTTCCCCGTCTGCTAAGCGAGCATCACCCAAGCTGGATGCTGGCCTCTGTCACAGCAGCAGCAGCATTACCGTGGGCTGCAGCGTGGTGCCGCCACAAAGCCCCAGGACGCCAGGCCCATGCACCGCAGCACAGCAGGTCTCTGGCATCTTCGCTCCACCGGGGACCAACTTCCTCATTCTTTCCTCCCCACAGAGCCCCTGGAGGAGGACGAGGAGATCCCACAGCTGATGCGGACCAAGAGCGACGCAGCCTGTGTGATCCAGAGGAGGCCCCGGTCCCGCGCCCCCGGGGAGGCCCAGAGGATCCGGAGACACCGGTTCTCCATCAACGGGCACTTTTACAACCACAAGGTGATGTCCCAGCCCGGCCTCTCCCCTGGGCCCTGAGGCTGAGGCCACAGGGAATCAGGCCCATGCACGCACGGGTGCAACTGTTGGGCCTTCTGTAAGCCAGGCCGCACAGAAGTCTTGTCAGAGTCCATGGCCCTGTGGACTGGTGTGGTCGTATCTGTGTCCTCATGAGGAGATGGGCTCAGGAGGAGAAAGAACTTGCCCAAAGTCACATCGAAGTAGCATTCAAAAAAAGTGACCCCA